GCCCATGCAGGAGCAGCCCCAGCCCACCCACAGAACCACCATGAGATGCCAGGTCCAGCATGGTCCCAAATAAACCACAGTGGCACCAAACCAGTGCCAGTCCCTCAGGGCTGCCAGCCCAGGTGTGCTTTCACTGCCTCCAAGCATCAAGCAGGCCAGGAGATCCAGGAAAATAGGATGGTGGCACCAAGGAAGAGCATGGGGCAGTGCTGCAGCCTGGCACACGTGTGCTGGCAGGATGGCTCCAAAATGGGGAGATTCACCCCTGACCCAACCTCTTGGGACACCACTGGCACGTCCTGGCTGTCACTGCAGGTGCACAACCAGCCTGGCCAAAACTTTGATGCAATCTCTGGGCTGCTCCCCATCACTGGCAGGCAGCAGGGTGAGGAGCCAACCCCAAAACCTGCCTGGCCGTGGGCTGTGGGATCCCACAGGGCTGCAGCCCCGGTGCTTTGCTCACAGCCCGCACGTACCAAGGCGGTGACTAAAGCCGGGATCAAAGCGCCCAAATGAAGGAGCGCAGTTTAACATCCATTTAACATCCACCCTTTCGTTCCTGGCTGCTTTTAATTAGGGTTGATCGTCCCGCCCTCGGCATCCCACGGGGTCCCAATCCCCACCGGGCAGGTGGATGCTGGGTCCCAGCACGATGGAGAGATTATTTGGCAGCTGGAAGCCTCCCCTGGCCAGGCAGCATGAGAGCTGTCAGAGCAGCTGAGCTATGAACTCCAGAGTTCCCTTCCTAATGCTGCTCCTTCCCAAATTACACCAGGAAAACACCACTTGGCAGTCACACACAATGCAATCCTGCAGGTTCCAGAGCTCATTGGATTTGTAACCTTTTTGTATTAGAAAAGCAAAAACTGGCAGCAGAAAAGGACAAGTTTTTCCTCCTGCCAGGCTGCCGAGCAAGCGCCTGCTGTGGGATGGTGATTTCCTACTTCCCACGCACGGCTTCTCCGAGGGAGACATCTACATCACCCTGACACAAGACATGGAAAAGCATTTTCAGGGAAAACAGGTGACCTTCATATCACCCACAAGGACCTGGGGTCACAGCAGGGTCAGCAACTCCTGTCTGTAACCACAGACATCACCCGAGCCCTCACAGGGGAAAAGGTGACAGGGCTCTGGATTCTGGTACAGAATCCTCAGGCAGCAGAGGGGATGTGCCAGCAGCACCCCTGTGACACAAAGACAAGGAGGGGATGTGCCAGCACCCCCGTGACACAGAGGCAAGGAGGGGACGTGCCAGCAGCACCCCTGTGACACACAGACAAGGAGGGGATGTGCCAGCACCCCCGTGACACAGAGGCGACTGGCGGCCGGCTGGGCAGCTGCTATAATTAGAGGAAAAAGGCAGATCAATACCCACGTTCTGACACTGAACAGTTCTGCTCTCACTGAAGCACCACTACAGGAAACCACACCAGAATAAAGCTCTTTTAGGACAGTTTTTAGCAGTTGCTGGAAAAAAGGTCAGCTCTGGGCAGTGAGTGTGACCATCAGACAGTGAGCCAGAGAGCAACCACCTCTTTGCCCTGTCCATGTCTCTGCTCACAGCATCCCTGTGGCTGCACACATTTCCAGAGCACAGGTGCCGGTGCAAAGCCCGAGGTGCCCCGGAAGGGGGTGGGAAGGAGGGTCCCGCTCCCGCCCGGCCGGCACGGGCAGCCCCGGTGCCGCGATCGTTCATCAGCGCTGCCCAGCGGGACGACTGAAGGAGACGCGTCCAGAGGGAACCGGAATTGCCGGTTTTCCCGTGTTGATCCCCAAACCCAGCAAGCTCCGTTTCCTACCCGGCGCGGTGACCCTGCGAGGCCTGAAATTCCCACCTGCCTTCGCTGGCGCTCTCCGGGGCCAAACCAGCCCAGGGGCTGAGGAAGGAACCGCAAAGCAAAGGGGCAAAGGGGAAAACATCTGCGATGAAAGCACAGCCTGCAAAAGCAGAGGGGTCAGAGGAGGCATGCGGGAGGGCACTGTTATTTTTGCTGGGGCAGCCGCGAGCCCGTCACTCTGCCCATCCCTGCCCACGCTGAGCACTTCATTTCCCACCAGCCCCATCAGTGCCCGACCACCGCACACCCCGTGGGGGCCACAGGAGCACGGACACCCCGGCCACGATGGGGCACAAACGCCTTTGGGCTTTGTTTCCACTCTGCCGCCCTTCGTGGGTCCAAACACCCCGATCCCCGCAGGGTGACCCGGGGGCAGGGGTGAACCCAGCCCCGGTACGAAACAATCCCCGGTGTCGGTGGGCCCGGGGCTCGGCAGGGATGCGGAGATGCCCCAGCCCCGGTTCGGCCACGCTCCCGCCGGCACCATAAAACTTTCCCGTGTGCTGCCGGCCGTGTTTACCTGCGATAAGGCCCGGGAGGTGCGGGGGGGCGCACGGCCGGCGCGGGGCCCGGCTGCCCGCGGGGGCGGCGGCGCACGGCGGGGCC